GAGTGATAATTTTATCTTTTTGAAAATGATACTTTCATAAGCACCACTTTTAACATTGTTTCTATAGGTAATCATGAGTTATACATTAGAAATAAACAAACTTTTAAATTTTTAATCACCTAAATTTGACCACATTTTAAAAATATACAATCTTTGTAGAAAGAGTTATTAACTGGTAAAGAAGCTATAACTTGGAATAAGATTGTGCAAGTTATACTGTGTATTTCTGAATCATTGCTATTGAGATCAAAGGTCCCATTTACAACTAAAAGACATCAGGAGAATTTCCTCTAGGAATAGGGAGAAGATTAGACTGACAAAAAAAACAAAACTAAAGGACAAGTCAATAAAACTAGGATAGTTTAGAACAGCGGTTCTCCTCTATTCTATGTGCACATTAGAACTATCTCTAGAATATTTTTAAATGTTGGAGACTCGGGCCCCATCCCAGACAAATTAAATCTGAATATCTAGGAGCACAACCCAGGCATCAGTATTTTTTACAGTTTAATGTCTCCTCACAGCCACTTTTCCTGGGTATTTTGGGTTATCTCCAGCCTTTTCTCTCTGCATTCAGATTGTAAGAGAAAATAATTAACATAATTACAGCTAATAAACCTACACAGTTATTACGCCTACTTTAAGAAAAAGAAAATAGTGAACACTTTTTTATATGTTTGCTGGCCATTAGTCTGTCTTCTTTTGAAAAGTTTCTGTTCATATCCTTTGTCCATTTACTGATGGGGTTATTTGATTTTTTTCTTGTTAATTTTCTTAAGTTCTATATAGATTCTTGTTATGAGCCCTTTATCAGATATGTAGAAAGCAAATATTTTCTCCCATTCTGCAGGTTGTCTATTCGCTCTAAGGACAGTTTCCTTGGCTGTGCAGAAGCTTTTTAATTTGATCAGGTCCCATTTGTTTATATTTGTTGCTGCTATGATTGCTTTGGGGGTCTTCTTCATAAATTCTTTACCTAGGCTGATGTCTAAAAGAGTCTTCCCCACATTTTCTTCCAGAACTCTTAAGGTCTCACACCTTAGGTTTAAGTCTGTTATCCAACATGAGTTGATTTTTGTGAGAGGTGGGGATCCAGTTTCAATCTTCTGCATGTGTATATCCAGTTTTCCCATCACCACTTATTGAATAGAGATTCTTTTCCCCAGTGTATACTTTTATCTGCTTTGTCAAAGATTAGATGACAATATGAGGATGGTTTTATATCTGGGATTTCCATCCTATTCCAAAGGTTTATATCCCTGTTCTTGTGCCAATGCAATGCTGTTTTGATTACTATAGCCTTATAGTAAAGATTGAAGTCTGGTAGACTGCTGCCTCCCAATTTGTTCTTTTACTTAAGATTGCTTTAGCTATACAAGGTCTTCTCTGGTTCCAGGCGAAGCGCAAAATTATTTTTTCAGTGCTCAACATCTCTAATCATTAGGGAAATGCAAATCAAAACTACAATGAGATATCACTTAACTCCAGTGAGAATGGCCTCTTTCAAAAAGTCCCAAAATAACAAATGCTGGCGTGGATGTGGAGAGATTAGAACACTCTTACACTGCTGGTGGGACTGCAAATTAGTACAATCCCTGTGGAAAGTAATTTAGAGATAGCTCAAAGAGCTAATAATAGAAATACCATTTGATCCAGCAATCTCATTACTAGACATCTATCCAAAGGAAAAAAAGACATTCTATAATAAAGACATCTGCATTCAAATGTTTATAGCAGCACAATTTACAATTGCAAAGATATGGAAACAACCCAAATGCCCACCAATACATGAGTGGATTAATAAAATGTGGTATATGTATACCTTGTAATACTACTGAACTATAAAAAATGGTGATCTAGCACCTCTTATATTATCCTGGATAGTGACTGAGCCCATCCTTCAAAGTGAGGTATCACAAGGATGGAAAAACATGTACCACATGTACTCACCATCAAACTGGTACTAATTGATCAACACTAAGGTGCTCACATAGTAGTAATACTCACTGGTTGCTGGTCAGGTAGAGGGGTGGGGTGGTAATAGGGAGAAGGGGTGGGGGGATAAACCCACAGCTAATGGAAACAGGGCACATTGTATGGGGGAAGGACACGCTTATGGCTCTGGCTTGAGCGAGGCAAATGCACTTCATGTAACCAAAATATTTGTAACCCCATAATATCCTGAATTAAAGAAAAAAAAGGAAAATAGTTTAAATAAAACTACATATAAGTATGTAGCCTGCATTTCATTGTTGGGCTCAGAGTTTCTTAAGGAAAATAGACCCTACAAAGTTAGACAAAAGTTGCTGCCAAATGAAAATCAAACTTGTATAAAGATCTCAAAAAAATACAACATAAAACAATGGGAAAACAGATTTTGCTATGTAAATTCATTTGGCATAATTGTCCACTCATCTACTTGCTATGGGCACATATCATTGTGGACTGTAAAAAACAAGTAACATATCAAAACAAGAGTCTAAGAGTCAACTTCTGAACCACACAAAAATGAAATTTAAAAAAAGCTGACTTCAATGTACTTTATTCTGAAATGTAGACAGACAAGTCACTTTAGAAAACATCTAATTTGTTGAATTCACTTTCTTATTTTCCATTGCTTCTATCCCTGCTTTTGTGAAAATTTCCAACTATCTTCATGTTGTTAGATTTATCACCATCCAACAAGTTGCTAAAGTAAAGAGCCTAGAAATTATCCCTAATTCCTCCCTTTCTCTCACCACCCTTAACCAAGGCAACAGCAGATTTTGTTAATTTCATTTTCAAAACATATGCTGATGCTTTATGTTTCTTTCTACCTTTTCTAATATCATCTCAGGCTAAGAAACACACATATTTGGCCTGGGCTACTGTTCCTATCTCTTAACCTGTCTCCCTTCTTCCATGCATGACTTAACCCCTCTCTGAGCCACGCTACCACTGTAGGCAGGGTAATGAAGAAACAAATTATGTCACTGCCCTCTTTGAAAGCCTCCAAAGGCTTTTAATAACATCACAAAAAATTCAAATGCTTTATTATAGTCTTCAAGGCCTTGCAGGCACTTAGCTTCTGCCTACTTTCCCAACATCTTTCCTCATGGATCTCCTCCACACTCAGGCCCACATTCCAGTCATATACTTTGCTACTTGACTGCCTAGCATACCCTTTCCCTAGCTCTTCACAGGGCTGCTTTTTCTCATCCCTCAGATTCCAACTCAAATGACATGTCCTCATAGAGCTCTTCACTGTTCATCCTATCTAGAGTAATCCTCTTTTCACTATTTACATGATATTGCTTATTTTCTTCATAATGTTTATTACATTCTGTAAAAGTGTGTGTATGGTGGGGGGAAGGGTGTTCATTTTCTTTCTTCTACTGCTAGAATATAAGCTCTACTGGGAGTAAGAATCTTGTTTGTCCTATATACTAGGGCCTATTTATTGTTTAGTCAATAAATACTCAATGGTGGCATGGTCTCCAGTGCTAGACTGGAAATTAAATTACTTGGGTTATAGCCAGACTTGCCTCTACCATTAATTAGCTGTGTGTTCTTGGGTATGCCACAAGATTAGAGTGAACTAAGAGTAACTGGAAGATAGGAAAGTGAAGATGGCAAGTATGAATTTCTTTTTTTCTAAATGTCCTTGTCTAACACAAATACAGACACATGGAAGTCTTTACTCAGTTTCTTCATTTGTATGAGTTACTTTGAAGGTCACTTTCAGTTCAGAATACCAGAATTATATGGGCCTCAATTTGAACCTTAACTTATCCACCCCCCATTTACATCCCTTCTAGCCCCATGAACCAAATCTGGGTATTTACCCTGAAACTAAACATCACAAAGTATACTTTATTACCTACACCTCTGCTCATTGCTTCTCTTCTCCAACTCCAACACCTGGAAATTCTATCCTTTAAAGCCCAGTTCAATTGCTAACGGCTTCATAATGTCTAATCCAATTATCTAGCCCAAAACTGATATGATCATTATGAGTTCAAGAATTCCTTTATGCTTCAAACTAGAGTACTCCCTGATTTTACCACTACCTGCTAGGACTAGTAACTTAACCTCTCTGAGCCTCAGTTTCCTAATCTGTAAAATGAAGATAATAGAACCTACCATACCCCATACTACTGTTGGATAACTGAGAATATTTAGCTTGATAAAGTGTTCAACTAATATACTATTTGTGTGTTACACAAATTTTTCATGCTCCCTGAGGGCCTCGAAAATGTCTTTTTCAATTCCGAATCTCCAAAGGTTTGAAACCATTTCACCTCCCCAATGTCTTTAACTTTCATATCCATAAAAAAAAATAAATGTATTGGATTAATTACCATTCTACCCAAACGTGAACTTCTCTATCTATACCTTCACATAAACAGCCTAAAGCAAAGATAACACAGGTGAGCTTCTGTAAGGACAAGAATTCCAGGGGACTAACATACAGCTTCAAACAGAAGTGAGTGGAAGCATTAAAGTTAAAATTACTTTCAAGACTTTGGAGATCTTTTCCAAAGAAACTGATTCTTGCCACAGTTGATGGATCTTTTGAACTGCTGTTTTTAAGTTGGGCTTCAGGATGAACTTGGGGTCTTTGAACTTCCAAAAAGAAATGTAAAATTGTGACTGGCACCCATACGCAAATGCTTCAGGGACAAGAGTGTCCACACGAGATATTGTGTAAATGAGTCTGCCCCAATGAGGCAAGAGGACAGCGAAGAGACTAGTCGCGTTAAAGAGGAAAATATTTTTAAGTCACAAATGGAAGACAGCTTAGACAACAAATCCAGCCTCACCTAACCAAAATCCCCCAAAAAATGAGCAGGTGATGACCTAGGACCGAAAGAAGGAGCCCGCCAGGCGCAGGACAGTTGTGGAAGCGGTGAACCTCAAGAGCTCGGCACTTTCCCCAGGTCGGCCTCCAGCCCGCACGGCCCGCGGAGCGAGACCCGGGTCGAGACCCCTCAGAGAACTCCCGCTTCCCGTCCCCATACCTGCGGGGTCGAGTGCCATCTCAGCGGGCAGAGGACAAGGCAGCCAGTGTCGGCTCTGGGACAGGGGGCGGGGAGGGGAGGAGCCTGGGCTAGGCTAGCCTAGGTACGGCCTCTGGAAGCCTCCCGCGCTAGGAGGAGGAGGAGGAGCGCGCTACCCTTGGCGCAGCCTGGCCAGGCCCCTTTCCCTCTCCTTCCCTACTTCCTACTTCCGCCTCCTATTGCGCTTGCGCCCTCCTGGCCCCGCCCCCAAACCGTAACTCGGCTGTGGAACAGACTTAGCGGAGCGAAAGACCCGGGGAATGGGGCGTGGCTGCGCGCGTCTTGGGCGGGACCATGTCCAGACGCGCGCCCCCTCGCTCTGGGAGGCTGGAGTCCCAGCGGGTGGAACCGCGGCAGCGCTGTGATGACGCGAGCCGGACCCGTAGGACTTTGCGACTGCGCCTCCCTTGGCGACCAGATCACAGGCCGAGCCCCGCCCCCTACACCAAACCAAATGAATCGCCTCCTTCCTTTATTTTTTCTTCATTAATGTTCATTCATTTACAAAAGTCTATTTCACGGCTGCCAGGTTCCAGCCACGATTCTGAATACTAGGGGAAAAAATAACAATAAAAATAAGGTCCCCCTTCTTTCTCAAGGAGCAGTGTTGGCACGGGAGTCAGATGAAAGCAACACGCTGTTAAATGCGATAAACGCCGCACGCACAAGATGTGCACAGCTTGTACTACCATAAAGATGGTATAGTGTGTGCAGTATAATTTCTCTTCCAAATCAGAGGCTTGTGGCTCTCCTGGGGGCAAAAATTAAAATGTGGGCGCTAGCTGTACCTCCGTTTTGTAAAATAATATCCCAGGACGTACAGTCCGAGTTGGGCGATGTCACAAATCCTGCCTCCGTCAATTAAAGCTGTATGTTTTGTGAGAAAAATGAAGGGAGGTAATAGCCATGCGGCTTAAGACCCCTAACTGCCCTCTTGTCAATGAAAGAAACTTTCTGGGTGGCACTTGAGGTCATTTCAACTCCCAAACAAGTCTTCAGAAGTGCTTCTTTGTCAAATCCACGTTTAACTGGCTCCAGCCTCAAAAGGGTGAGGTGAGGCCTGGGACAGATGTTTAGAAAAACAAGGAGCAGCTGCTTCTTCCCTGCGAGGGATTTAGGGCTTTCAAAATGATCCCCTCCCCACCTACCTACAGTCCCTCCTCCCCTGCTGCTGCTTCCGCCTGGTCAGTTGGCAGAAAAGCTGAGGCAGTTGAGCAGGGCTGGGAAAGTGGGTCTCTGCTCAGCAGGTCTTCCGTTTAAGGGCCTATTTGGGCATAACGGCCCTTATTACAGCTGTAGGTTGAGGTGCCAAGGTGCAGAATTAACGTTTCACTCAGCCAGCCAGGAAATCAACTCCTTTTCCATGTATGTTTTATAAATGTGCTTAGAAACACACTAAATTTGCTCTGGTGCACCTTTTATTTTTCTGGAGGTGAAGGATTTAATTTAGAAAACTGAAGCAAATCTTTTGAGAAGATGAGGTGCAGTGTAAAAACACAGGTCAGGCACCCATATTCAAGTAATTAAACTAAATCTGTCTATCTACAAGAGAGTATCACGGTGAAGGGGGAAAGTGTGGAGAGCTTCAGTCAGAGAGAACTTCACTTGAATCCTGTAGCACAACCTATTAGCTTTGTGACTTGAATAAGTTCCAACGTGTTACTGAACTGTAGTTTCTAATTTGCAAGGTTGTTGTAGGGAATAAATGTATTATCATATAACACATTTGAAGGACCACTTCTGCAGTTTTTCCCATAACTATCATTTGAAATGTTACTATTTAATATTTCATATTTAAGTCAACTCATTTTAAAAAAAACTTAAATAAGCACTATTTTGGTCTTATGCTAAATAATAATATCTGTAAAATCATGGATTTTCTGTGGCCCATAAAATGGACACTAGACCATTTTAGAAGAACCATGAGAAGAACTAGCAAAAAGAGACTAATACATAATAGGGTATCTCTCTCCACTCTCAAATTAAACTAGATATTTTGAGGGGAAACAGAGTCTTTACAACCTAACTAGAGAAGATAAATCATGTTTTAAAAAATTGAACCATAGAAATTTAATTAGCAATTGGAAAAAGAAGAAATTTCATGAAGTATCACATTATTAATATACAATTCTTTGAGTAGTAACTGCAATAGAAGCTTAAAGAGAAGGGAGAGCACATCACCCTCGAAATTAAGCACTGTGTGTTATCCAACCATGATCCCTAGGACTCAGACAGCATCTGGCACCTAATTGCCCTGTAGTAGCCTTTGTCAAAGGATTGAATGCCATGATAGTTAGGAATACTTCAAATATAAGTTAGAAATTATGCTTGGCCTTAAGAAATGGGTAGCATGGGTAGGCAGAGAAGAAGGCATGCCACGCTGGGAGAAAAAATGAGAACAAAAGCATCTGGAATTTGAGCTATTCTCAAAAGACAGGTGCAACATAGAAGAGGTGGAGGCTAAGGAGTGGAACCATATGAGCAAAAGCACAGGGATGGGAAGCACAGGGCTGTGTGGCAGGTGTGTGGGGGGATTGGTAGGTGGCAATGTGTTTGAGGATTTGGGAAGTTAGGGCGGTTATAAATGAGGTTGTGCTGAAAAAGGCCATTTTCCCACAGCCTTAACCATTAGGCTGAGGAGTGTTTGAGTTTGTTACTATAAGCAGTTGGGAGCTATTAAAGGGTAACATAGAAAAATAGCATGTACCCAAAATTTTCTAAAGGTGTTTTATCAATTTTTTATAATTTAGGTTGACTGAATGAATAAATTTAGGTAGCAAAGAAAGAGCTAAGAGGTAAGCAAACAACTAAGGAGGATATTGCAGTAGTTCAGGCATGGTCTGACAAGAGCCTGAATTAGGATATGTAGAAATGTAAAAGGAAAGAAAGGATGTGAGAATGATTGCAAAGGAAGGATCTATACTTCATAATTGGACTTAGGAGACTAGGACAAGTTATCAAGATCTCTAGATGATCTCTTTCCTTGAGAAATGTATACAAACAAGAAAATCGTGGCAATGTGCCTATTCATGCCTAAAATGATCCTCATTGGGGAGGAGGAGGGGCAGAGGGGAGGGGGCCTACTGACACAGAAAGACCAATTAGGAGGAAGTTGCAGCAACCCAGGGGAGCAAGAATAGTGGTTGAACCATAGTAGAGCATGTGAAGGTAAAGTATTTAGTATGTAGACTGGACATTAAAAATACACACACGCACACAGATGTGTGTCTATATATTTTTTCTTAAGCTAATATCCAAAGAATGTGCAAGTAGGAACAAATATCTTAATTGTTTATCAAGTCAATTCTGACTAGATCTAACATTCCTTTTTGCTACATGTTGCTATACAGTTAATTATTTTTGAAATTGAGATAGTTGATCAGTTCATGCTTGCTTCTGACTCTGCCCAGCATCAGAATTAAAGTGAGAACCAAATTTTAAATAACATTAGAAGCCCCATCACTACCCATGTATGGAGTTTAGAACCAGTTCTTGCCTATAAGAGCACTAATCAAGGGTCCTTGGTGGCCCTGCCTGCTTTCTGAGCTGTGTGACTTAGCACCCAGTCCTCATGGCCTGTGCCCTCTCTGATTTGAATGGACTTAGGTAGGTCCAGGTTGACATTTGTATTAGCGACACTTGTATTATTTTCTATGGCTGCCATAACAAAGTATCACGGCCCAGGGAGCTTAAACAAGAGAAATTTATTTTCTCACAGTTGAAGGCTAGAAGTCTGAGATCATGGTGTCCATAGGGTTGTTTTCTTCTGAGGCATCTCTTCTTGGTTTGCAGATGGCCCTCTTCTCCCTGTCTGTATACATTTGTCTTAATATGGTCTTCCCTCCGTGTGTCTGTGTGTCCTAATGTCTTCCTGTAAGGACACTAGCCATATTGGATTAGGTCCACACTAATGAATACCTTAATGACATCACTTTGACTAAACTACCTCTTTAAAGACCCTATCTCCAAATACAGTCATGTTCTGATGTACTAGAGGTTAGGACTTCAATGTAGGAATTTGGGGAGGCACAATTCAACCCATAACAATAATCAAGTTTTGTTTTTTTTTTTACAAGGATTAAAACCCTTCCCTGAATCCTAAATCAGTTGGCTAGAGCCCTGACAATGTGCCTAGCTTTAGCAATATACTTTGTTCCTATTTCACTGGTGGTTAAATAGAGCCTGCTTCAATCTGAATCAGCCCCCCATCCACTTCAATCAGCTCTCATCTGTCCCTCATTCCCCACATCTGATTGATCTGATTATCTATTCAGTTCGCCTTTCTTAACATGTGTTTATTTCATCTACCAACCACACTGTCATAACTCTTAGTCCAAGATCTCCCCACTTTTGCAGAGATTATTGGCTCTCTGCTCCTAGCCATTTCCTCACCCCACCCTTTCTCTCTAATCCATTTCACCCATGACAGCAAATATGATCATAAAATTTCTTATATAAAATACCTCAGTAAAAGACAAGCTATGGAATAGGAGACTATATCTGCAAAGCATACTTCTGATAAGAGGTAGTATCCAAAATACATCAGGAACTCAAGTCAATAGCAAGAAAACAATTAACTGAATTTTTTAAATGGGCAAAGGACCTGAACAGACATTTCTCAAAAGAAGACACACAAATGGCCAAGAGGTATATAAAAAATGTTCAATGTCACTAATCATCAGGGCAATTCAAATTAAAAACCACAATGAGATATTATCTCACATCTGTTAAAATTGCTATTATCAGAAAGAAAAAAGCTAATAAGTGTTAGTGAGAATGTGGAGAAAAGGGAACTCTTGTACACTGTTGGTGGGAATGTAAATTAGTATAGCCATCATGGAAAACAGTAAGGAGGTTCCCTGAAATATTAGAAATAGAACTACTATATGATCTAGGAATCTCACTGCCGACTATATACTCAAAGGATATGGAATCAGTATGTTGAAGAGATATTTGCACTCCTATGTTCATTGAAGCATAATTCATAATAGCCAAGGTATGAAGTCAACCTAAGTGTCTATCAACAGATGAATGGATAAAGAAAATGTGGCATATGTATACAATGGAATACTGTTCAGCATTGAAAAGTGGAATTCTAGCCGGGCGCGGTGGCTCACGCCTGTAATCCTAGCACTCTGGGAGGCTGAGGCGGGCGGATCATTCAAGGTCAGAAGTTCGAAACCAGCCTAAGCAA